GATGGCTGGTGGACCCTGGACACCGTGGGACCACACACAATAGTGAGTGCTCAATTAGACGCTCATATAGTAGACACAAAGCGTCACTTTACGTAGATTGCATGATGGTAGACGTAAATCGCATTGGGTCCGACGGGAAGTAAAGTAAGAATTGGAATTTGCAATTCGCCGGAGTTACGTAAGAATGATCTAAGCAAAGAATTTAGCTCTGAGATTTTCGCAATAATTCAATGAGTCAAGCATTTTCATTTCTGTAAGAATACTCTAGCTCAATCCTTAGAAAAATATGCAAGAAGACGCGACTGGTAAAAAATAAAAAAACTGTTTCTTAATTCATTTCAAGCATCTATAAGGCTTGAATTTTTTTGATGGGTTAAACAGATGTGAATGGAGTATCCATTGATAAAAGCTTATAATTTTTTTAATTGGATCATTCTTGCATAATAATGGCCAATTGAAATTTCGACTCGACAGGCTTCCTTCATGTCGGATTATTGTTTGATGATATCAATTCAACGCGCGAGAACGCATTGAATTGATATATTTCAACATGTCATATTTATATGCTCTATAAATGTTATATATGCTTTTTTATACTCTATATATGTTTTATATATACCTAATATATGCTCTATATATATTATTTGATTAATATATTTTATAACTTATGTCGTTTTATATACGACATACTATTTCTTTGGAGATATTTTTTTATGCATACGCGTATGTAGTTGACAAGGCAACAAATTATTAAGCCGAGACTCGAACTGAAATGTTTCGATTTCCCGCTAAAATATTAAGCCCAGATTCGGACCCGACTGTTTTGAGATTCTGCTAAATTATTAAGCCAAGATTCGAACCGACGAGTTTTGTGTTTCCGCAAAATTATTAAGCCGAGTTAATTAGGATAATTTTTAAAATTTCTTAAAGAAATTTTCGCATTTGCAAAGGTGTATTCTCGAAAATGACATGAAGTGTGCGTATTTCGCTTTGCATAGTCTCTTGGATGACAATGTGCCTTAATGTCACTCTACTCCCTCAGTAACACGTCCAGAATTTTGAAAATAATTTTACAATATCCCAAAGTCATGCTCATAACGTTAGATCCATCATAGCAGTATATTCGGATTCTTCTGAATGCGCAGTTGTATCAATCCTGCGCATGAGTCGAAAGTCGGTCATATTATGGTAGGTTAAAGGTTACGTCGCGGTAGCGTATAAAGCACAATCTCGGATAGTTTTTTAGGATTTTTTAAAGAAACATTCGCGGTTGAAAATGTGTATTTTCGAAAATTTGGTCTGATGTACTTATTCTGTATCGTCTTCTGGGTGACAATGCGTGTTTGTGTCACACTGCTGCCTCAGTAGCACGCCCAGTATCTTGAAAATAACTTTCCAATATCCCAAAATCGCCTCCATAAAGTTA